CATGGCTTAGTCAGAGTGTGTGTTTCCTTTGCAAAATGGTCCAATGCTGTAGTAGGTTCAGACAGCTCCTCAGAGGTTACACCAAAAGCATTCTTCACTTTTCCTTCTTCTCCATCTCTGCTCTTCATTTCTCTGTTTTCTATATCACCTTCCAAGCTCCCTAAATTGCAACCAAATCTCTGCATAACATCTGCTCTTAGGAATAACTTAAAACCCAGCTCAGGGACAGCTTCCTATTTCAAATCTTCCACATACAAAAGATGTATGTGAAGGAAGTTCTTCATCTAGTGTTTCCTGTACCTTGTTTTATTTGTACAACATCTTTATGTGCCCAGACATGGTGTCAGACAGATCTTGGTCGCATTAGAGTTACCTTTTGCCTCTCAGCATCCCTAAAATCAGTAATGCTTAGCTGGGTTATCCTAAACTTGATTCAGCATGATGGAAAGAATTTCCAGGACACATTTTGCTTCAAAAAAGGCAATGCAAGACACCTGGGGAAGGTCACTGCAGAAGCTGCAGTATCAGTAACTTCCATTCATTCACACCACCATCTGTGAGTCTGGTGGTGTTCCCAGATTGATGAAATGCAGGTCACTGGCCTGAAATGAGTACATGGCCCATAGGACATCTAGACCATGTACCCAATATCAGCACAGGACATCGCTGGCATGTTGCAGTGTTTCTGTCCAGTTCTGTAGCCACCTCAGAGGCCCCAAATAAATGCATGGACACTATATTAGTTATAATACTGTTAGCTGTTGGCTTGGGCTTCTTATTGGCTAGCTGTCTCAATTATTTAATCTATTTCTATTAATCTATGTATTTCCACATGGTCTTCTCTTACTGGAGAAAGAGTCGAGACCCATTGCTCCTCTTGCATCCTACATGATGACTCCTTTCTGCCTATACTTGCCAGAATCCTCCTTGTCTCCTAGTCTCAACTACCATCCTGCCTCATTAGCCACAGTGCTTTATACATCAACCAATAAGAGAAACATATGTACAGAAGACATCCACATCACTGGCATGGCCTTCTGTTTGACTCTTAGAAACAGGACAATCACCTAGTTCATGTTGGGCTGCAAAGGAGAAGCCCTGAGAGTCCAGAGCCCATATCAGAACTCACTAAAAATCAGAAATTGAAAGAGTGACTGATTTTTCCAGATTCCAAAGATAGCTGTTATTCTTTTTTTTTTCCCACCACCAGAGGAATAAAGAGACCAACATTGGAGTATTTCTCAGATTAATGTCATGTGTGATATATTATTTATAATTTATTAAAGCTGGCCTGAGGGCACAGAAAGCAAAGCTAGCCACAAGCCCTATAGCCAGGCAATGGTGATACACACCTTTAATCCCAGGACTCAAGAGACAAGCAAATGGATCTCTGTCAGTTCAAGGCCAAACTGAGCTACATGAAATTGATCCAGTACTAAAGAGAAACAGCTCACACAAAGGTGATCTCAGCACTTGAGACCACATGCCTTTGATCCCAGGATTTGAAGTATAAAAGGAAGAGGCAGCAGTCTGTGATTGTAGTCTGAGACTTGGTGGAGACAGGATTGCAATCTGAGATTTGGTGATTTATTCTCTAGTCATACTGAGAACAGGACAGCCCTTTCATCCTGAGGTAGAGATAACAGCTGGTGGTTGGCTACTTTGCTTTTCTGATCTTAATCTTGAAGCTTGAACCCCAGTATCTGTCTCTGGGTCATTTATTAATTGTGTTACTATGTCATTTGTGTTGCAACCCAATTTTTTTTTTAATTCTGTCTACTGACAGTATACTTCCAATGCTGACATACTTCTTGCATTTCTACCCATGTCTTCAATAGACATGATCTTGGATGACTCACTTTACCACTCTGAGCCTCATAGCTTATGACATATGACAACTAAATATAAGCAGATGACATTAGAGGAAAATTAAAAGATAATACGGTACATATTACCACATACTCAACTGTGGTGACATTCTTTTAAAAATTTTATTTTAATTTTGTGTATGGGGAGTGAAGTGTGTGCACGTGAATGCAGGTGCTGGTGGAAGACATGGGATCTCCTAATCCTGGAGTTATAGTCTTTTGTAAGACATCAAACATAGCTGCTAATAATTGATATTGGGTCCTCTGAAAGAACAGTAAGAGCTCACAATGACTGAGCATCTCTCCATCCCCTGTCACAGTCCTTTCTTTATGTGCTATTTTGATTGCACATGATGGCTAGAGACAGATATAACAAAGGTATAGGGAAAAGTGAGGCTTTCTGGTGTGTGTGTGTGTGTGTGTGTGTGTGTGTGTAAACAATTGAAGGCATGTTGTACTTGGAAACAAATTAAACACATCATAAGCAAAAAAAAAAAAAATATCTAAAAGCTAAAGATAGATTCCATTCACTGAGTTTGTGTGGGAGAAAAGTAATGGGACATATGTAAATTCCTACAATTGATATTAAAAAATATGAGCCAGGTGTGATAGATCATATGTAGTACTAATTTTAAGAAGCTAAAGAGTGGAATTCCTGTGAGAAATGGTCTGCAGTGTGAGATCATGTCTTATAGAATTGAAAAAGTATGAAAAAATTGCTGAGTATACAGTATTGATAATAATATTTAAATCTCTAAGTGTGTTAGTATAGTTTACACAGGAAGCTTCATTTCCAGAATCCCTTGTACAGGCTCTGTATGGCCTGAACTTAGGTATCAGAATTGTTAGAGTGAATTATGTCAGTTCTGAGGAATGATTAAACTACCCAAGGATCACACATAGAACCGCTTACTTCATTTTGATGCATATTGCCTTCCCCAAAGGGGAAAGTATAAGCATAACATGCATACATAACCCCAACTGCCAAGTCAAAGTGATTTTATTTTCTATTTATTTGTTGAATACATTGATGAATGTTATTTTATAGGCAAACAATGGTAATCTTTTATAATTTTGTGAAATATCCTTAAGGTCATATAAAAATTATTTTTATAGTGATATGTATGTAAACTTATCTGTGGACAATTTTTTTTCCTGATCTGATTGTCTCTAATAGCCTTTTCTCACTTTTTGAGGAGTTTCCATGATATTTTCTACTGACTGGAGCTGGCTAGGCTTTATCTGCATCATTAGAATTGGGGTTCTCTTGTTGGCCCTCCCAGGACCACAAACTTTCTCCTTTGACCTCAAGTTTCTCTTTCACTATCCACCTAATATTTCTCTACTGTATGGATTGAAAGTATCTTTTCAAATCTTCAGTTCCAACCCCTCAACTTGCTTCTAGATCCTAACCACTGACATTCTTTGGGTTTTATGTCATTATATCAATGTCATTCCTTAATGGCTGGTCCCAGATTTCAAAATTAGTGCCTTCCTCTCACTCAAATCAGAGCAACCATATTCGTCCTTGCTGCCCAGCATGTCCATCAATTGACTCTGCTATGCTTCTCTACCCAACTTGTCCTCTTTTAACCCATCTCATTTTTCCCTCTCCCATTGAATGTGCCTAGCTACACATTATTGAGAGTCTTATGTGATTCCTTGATACTTCTGCCTAGGCATACTTCTCGTTCTTGATGACAGTGGTGGCCAAAGTCCGCCATGAACACTCTATTCATTGTTTCCTCCAAGAAGCAATAATTAAGACTCAGCCTAGACAAATATGAATTCTTCATCATTCCAAATATGCTATATCTTTTTGGATGGTTTGCCTAGCCCAAAATGCTCTCCTACTTTTGTAGTCATGCTATGTGACCCAATTCCCTGTATAATTCGAATGGCAGTAGGACATGCTGCCTGTGGTTTTAATGAGAAAGATTAAGGTTCAGGACTTGTAAATGAAACTACTCTAGGGAAAAACAGGAGTTCCTAAAGCTGAGCTTCATTAGAGTTCTATCCAAGTCTGTTCTTTTTGGGGTAATGCAACTTTTCCATGGAACCATTACTATACTAAGAATGTCCTATTTGAGGTAAATTTGCTTCTACGGTTTATACTGATATCTAATTCAGAAATCTCAATTAGTAAGAGAGATCCTGTTAGTCCCCTGTTTACAAGGGCCTGAAATTTGATTCTGCTCTATACTTCCTTATGAAGCTTGACTACAGAATACTCAAATCATGTCTGCTCTGTTTTATCTCCAAAATAATGCTCCCTTCTCTACATCCTCTGCTGTTGCCTGGCTCTGGCCATTATCTCATTGTTGGTTCCATCAGGACTTCCTTTGTTTCAGAGGTTATTGTAATCATATTATTTCTTTGCCTAAAACTTGCAGCAGTGGAATAACTCTTAATATGACATTGAAAACCATATTATTCTGGCTCCAAGGCCAGAGGGCTCATCTTGTGCTTTTCTACATATCATCTAGGCTTGACACCCAGCTTTACCAAAACCTTCTTCATATTACATTGCTTTTATGGTTTTTATAATATTACACTTTTGGCCCTGGGAAAAACAACACTTATTTAATGTTCTCTTGAGCTCTTATCCTAAAGAATAGAGACATCCCACTCCATCTTTGAGAAGGAGAGATCACTGTAGTGGTTGAAGTTTATCTTCACTAGTAGAAAATTAGGAACACAGTATATTTAATTATTTATACTTGGGTGTAAGAAGAGTAAGTAAATGTTAGGTACAATGGACCACATACCTATATAACATTTACCAGGTTGGGGAAAGTCAGAAAAACAATAGCAAAACCTAACTGTTTTCTCTGTCACTGTTTACCATTGTTCTAGCCAAAGTTAGGAAAAAGACAGGGTGGGATTTACAAGGCAGGTGAAATTAAGAATATACCACAAACTCCATTTCAGTCAGCAGAATCGAAAACATGAGACTCTCATGAAATTATTGTTAGCCTGCAAACGGAATCTATTTATGTGAATATATAACTGATGAAGCATTTTGATGTACATTAATTATTTTTCATGGTGACTCTGCACAAACATTTTATGAATGCTGGTTTCTAGACGAGAAAATAGCCATGTCAGATAGCTTGAACAAAGTCACACAACTAGTGCATGACAGGCCTTTAATAGGAAACTACCTTCTAAATTCAGGATTCAATATTCTATCTGCTATGCCATATAGCTTTTTGACCATTACAAAAGTACAAACAAAAACAATGTCACAAGTTAAGGGGTATGGGAATGAGATCTGTGTGCATGAATGTCTAAACCATCAGATACCTCACATATTCCTTGTTGGCCTAGAAAGACTTAATGCCTGCTGCAGAAGGTGTTGCTTCACATCCAGGAATAGATATAGTCAGGCTGATTCTGCCAGCACCAAGCCACTTCATGATTCAGGCAAACTTCAATCGCCATGCCTGAGCATGGTTGGGGTGGCAAGGAGTGCATATTTACATTCATTTTATTCAAATGGTTGGATTTACAGTTTTGGAAGTTGTTTGAAGTATCTTATCAAAAGAAAACACATTTTAAGCAAGACATATAAAAAAAAAAAGTTTTTAGAACCCAGAGGTCATTTAATAGCAGAAATCCTACTTGGGAAGTTTAGCAAATATTTCTCAAAATCCACATCTAAGAGACATATTAGTATCGGATACACAGATTTGGTTTCAAAGCTGAAATCCCCCTCGCAGGATATAATTTCTCATGAAATTTGGTTATTTTGTAGTAAACCACTAAAAAATGAACAGATTTGTACTGACAACTTAAATAATAACTCAGTTGGCTACTTGGTGTTATAAATAAGAAAAAAAAGTGCCTATGGAGGGGGTGAAAGGTCTATGACATAAGCAAATGGTGGGCTGCAAACAATGTTTATACATATTCCAGAATCTAAAATAGGAACAAAACAAACAAATAAACAAACAAACAAGAAAACCAAACAAGTCATAATCTATGCAATATAGACCCCATTGGCCCAAACCATCCCAAAGAGTATACCCATCCACGTAAGGGTTACTAACCCACCTGCTACAGATGTTGCTATGTTACTAACAATAATCTTAAAAATGTGTCATACCAGTTTTTGTAATCATACATGATATATAGTGGCAGAATCTTGCAAAAGCCACTGTCAGAGGTTATCTGACAAATGTTCATCCACTGGTCTAAGAAATCATATCTAAGAAACACTAGGCATTCACTTTTCACTAAACTCTGTATAGTAGGCTCCGCACTCTAGGAAAGAGCCTGGATAGAGAAAGAATTGCAGCCCAGTGCAGTGCCATAGCATCTTATTCCTGTGCTTCTTTACGGGTCAACTTGTAGATCTCAGTTGGTCCGTCCACATGGGTGATTGTGGTGGTGAGCTGCAGTTCTTCCCCACTGTGGACACCCAGGTCACCTGAAACAAGGTGTTTGGTGTTATACTTGTTCAAGAAGGAAAGGGAGGCATTTCACATTCTACCCTGATAGGCTCTCACAACTTTTTTGCTTAGAATTTTTTATAATTCTTAATATCACTTTTTGCCCTCAGACATGTCATTAATGATATATACATTAGCTCACTGCTGATATCATTCATAGTATTATTAACATTTAATGAAAGATTGCCTTGTACTTAATGCTTTTATAATACTTATTATCCAATATTATTTAATATTCATAAGAACAGGCTAAGGTGCAGTTAATTATGATCATGCAAGCTAAACAGTTAAACCTTGGAAGAAAAGCAAGGGAACCAACCCCTCCCCCCATGAAGGGACAGGTACATAAAAGCATGGCAGTGAGTCTGACTCTGAGGCCAATGCAGTGGGCTACGTCAATTAAAACAAGCAGATGTTCAGGGCCAAGTAGGCACATAGCAGCTATTAATGGTAACATATACAATGACTATGTCTCCTACAAATAAGACCTGCCTACCATAACCAAGTACTCAGGCATACTAATATATACTAAGACCAATAATGGACTTTCTTCTTCAGAAACAAAGACAAAAACATAAATGCCAAATTTTCTCCTGCCCCTCAGGAATGCCTAGATACCAAGACAAAGTTGTTTGCATAAAATGGAATAACACGGCCTTCCCTTAATTAGGAAGAAAAATAATGCTAAACAGTTAAGAGTCTGCAAAACAATATTTGACAAGAATGAGATAGCAAACTAGTGAGAAGAGAGTAGAAAACAACCAGAATCAATGGCCAGTTTCACACTGAGAGGTGCATACATACACACATTTGTAGATAGGAGTACAAAGGAATAGAGCATGAAATGTGGGCATGAACATGGAAGCATGTGCATGGTTTTCATATTATATATCTACTGTATTTTCTGGAACTAAGCATTTTCTTAGTTTAAGCATATAATTAAATTCAGAGTTTGGGTTAGGGGCAGAGAGTGCCCTGACAGTCCCTTACACCCTCTCCTAAACATTAAGAAACCTGTGAAAGCCCCTTGGATACTATCCTGGGCAGAGGGCAACTAAGAACCCCTTCGATACTGTCCTGGGCTTGAATGTCTTAGAATCCCACAGGTCATCCCACTCAGGAACTGGAGATTGTTTAGCAATTTGTTTGCTCATGGATACCATGTGGTATTTGGTTTTCATTATTGATTTATTTTTCAGTATGGTATCCTATATCTATTACAGCTTTAAACACCAGCTCTCAAGACTTAGGCAAAGAACAGTCTAAATAAAGAAGCTTAGGGCAGCCTCCAGCACTTTCTTAAGTCTACTTCTGGATAGAAGAAATGCATCACAAAGCTTGTGAGAAGTTTCCAAATCTACCCCAAGCTAAGTACAACCACTATTTTTACAAGAAGCACATTCTTTCTAGTCATAAATTTACCTTCCTCACCTCAAATAGTACTTTTTTTGTTTTCATGTCATGTGTATGTCATCATTCTCTCTTTTCTTCCCTTCCTTCTATGATGTACATGCACCTGGGCACACACAAATACACACACACACACACACACACACACACACACACACACACACACACACACACGAACTATAGAGCTTTATCTAGCCCATGACTCAGTTGTTCAGAAAGAAGAAGCCTCACACTTCCAGTCAAAGAAAGCAACATACGGATTTGTTTGTTTAGGCTAAGCCATCATATCAAAGCCAGTTTCTGATGGCTCATCTGTTCCATTCACCAGAATTTCAAAGATAGTTCTGACCATTACAGGAGCAGTTTTAAACTAATAGATTCCTTTCTCCCAGAAAATGTATACAATGTTGCAGGGTACATAAGAAATAGCCAAAATACTTTGGCTTAAAAAAAAAAAAAGCTAAAACAAACAAGCAAAAAACAAACAAACAAACAAAACAAAACCAAAAACAAAATCTATGTTATAGTGCTTATCTTGTGCCTGACGGCTCTTCCTGCCCTTTCTCCTTCTCTTCTTTCCTTCCTTCCTTCCTTTCTTCCTTCCTTCCTTCCTTCCTTTCTTTCTTTCTTTCTTTCTTTCTTTCTTTCTTTCTTTCTTCTTTCTTTCTTTCTTTCTTTTTTTTTTTTTTGGAGACTAGATTTAACTATTTAGCCACAGCTAGGGTAAAACTCCAGATCCCACTGCCATTGTGTCTGGGTTGCAGAGATTACAGGTGTGTACTATCATTCTTGGTTCTGACACAAGTTTAGGTGTTGTACAAAAACTGATGCAGAAATCGATAAACCATTCTGCCAACAGAGGCAATGTGGATATATTATTTATGACTTAATAAAGCTTCCCTGATGGTTCAGGATGCAAAGCCAGCAACACTAGTTAGCTATAGAAGCTAGGCAGTGGTGATATACATCTTTAATCCCAGGACTCATGAGACAGAGGCAGATGGATCTTTCTGAATTCAAGGCCATCCTGGCCTACACAAGAGTGAATCATCTAAACGAGAATTTAGAGCTTACGCCTTTAATCCCAGCGCTAGAGAGGAACATAAAGGATAGGAGCCCAGTGTCTCAGGTTGCATTCTGAGATTTAGTCTCCAGGCATGTTGAAGAGAGGCAGCAGTAGCAGTCTGGCATTGGAGTCTGAGGCTTGGTGGAGACAGGCCTGCCATTTCAGCCTGAGGTAGAGGTAAGAGCTAGTGGCTTGGCTGCTTTGCTTCTCTGAAGTTCAGCTTGAACCTTAAACCCCAATATCTACCTATGGATTTTTATTTTTCATGTTACAAAGCAATATTCATATCATTCCCATTCTGCTGATGAAAAAGCAAAGGGTAAGTAACCTGCCCAAGTCCCAAACAAACTCAAGGTAATATTAGATGAAGATACACACTACAGCAATACAGACGAGGCTCCATGCTCTTGACCTTCAGGTTCTAATGTGTATACTTATAGATAATATATAATCTAATAACGTGGAGGGGCTTTTAGAATACTAAATTTGTTTTAATATTTGATATGTTTTTAGTATACAAATCTGATTTATACATATTTGCAACATGCACTTTTGGAGTCTTAGCATGCCCTGTATTTCCTTGTAACATGGAAGGATACTAAAGCATTATTAGTTTACCTAATGTGCTAGATGAAGTGAAAATATGTGCAGCAAAATCTATGATTCTTACATTTTGCAGGGCAACTTTTTTTCCCCTTAGGGTATGATGTTGGGAATATGTCAGTAACATAGGGGGAGTAAGGAACCCTTCATTGGCTCCAAACTCCATTAACCCCCCATTTCTGCCAAAGTCTTGCTCCATCTATTGGTATATCTCTGTCTTGGCTTCTGGGTGCTTAAAGTCTTTACTCATCCAAAACAAAACGAAACCCTCTGAAAACATTATTGGGGGCAGATGGAGAATTAAGGGAACTTCCACATGCTGTGGCCATTGAGTGTTTTACAGATTTCTTTGTGAGAACAAAGTTCTTTCAATATTAAAAGGGACCCCATAATTACATCCTTATAACCATCAAGGCCACATTACACACCATTGCTCAAGAGTTACTCCCATAGAGTTCTAATACAGTGAGCTCATATTTGTTTCTCAAGGTCAAATATAGTCTGTGCTAAAGCCAGGATCCTGAGCCATCTGTGACTATCTTCAAAGCATGTTCTCTTCACACAGTCATAAGTGACTATCATTTTCTGTGGACTTTTCCTTGTTTCCACACCAGCCTTTTTCCGATCAACCTTTAAAGGTAAATTTAAGTGATTATTTTATAAGGAAATTTGTAGTTCAGAGCAGAATAGGAAAAATAAGAATGCTGTATTAGTAGACCTAAATTGATGCAATGTAAAATTTATTACTTTTAATAGTATGTTTGCCTTACATTTTGGGTGTTAATATGATGGTGGTGACGATTATGTTTAAAAATAAAATAATGAATATAGGGATTTTTAATCTTTTTCTTCTGTAAATAAATCAAGTACCCAGCACATTTTCCAGGTAGTACATGCTAATCAATTATTCATCAATATTCACCTACTCTAGCTCCTTTGTACCTCTGCCAAGGTAGTATGAGCTTAGCATTCCACACTGTTGCTCTTTGCTGGAGTTTAGGAACAAACCCTCTACTAGAAAGCAGGTGCACCTCAGGGTAAGAATCCTTCATGGATTAATGCAGTCAATGTTCATTAACACAACTTGTTAACATGCTTGTTACAACATCTAGGAAATGTAGCAATTGTTTTTTATGTGTTATTTACTTGGAAGACAAAAACTCTCAAATTCAAATCAAGGCCATGTAGCTTCTGTTAAAATCCTGCAGGAGGATCATGAAATAAAATTAATGTTCTTGTCTATAATCCAGAATCCCATTGTGCTAGCAGTATGGTGATTGGCTGTTTAAAAAGCTGCATGTCCTACTTTGATACATACTGTAACACACCAACTAGCAGTGGAAGAATAGTTGACAGATAACTCATTTCCAAGTCCGCTAGAAAGGCAGGAAGTAGGCAAACCATGGCCAGAGGTAGACTAAAAACTGGGAATGACAAAATATCTTTAGTCCAAAAAAGTCAAGGTAAAAGAAGCAGGAACAGCACATTATGAAAACAGATGGAAGTGGGACTGAAGTCCTTGCTCCAACACTGGAGAGTTACCTCTCCTGGCTCCTTATTTCCATTTCCTTATCTTTAGCTGATCATTACAGCCACTCTATGTAATGAGTATGGTTTTTCCGCCTGCTGCCGCCGAGTCTTGTCCTGCAGCCTCGCCAGCCCCAAATAATACACAGAGACTCTGTATTTGATACAATGCTGTTGGCCCGGTTACTTGTTTCTTATCGGCTAGCTCTACCTTAATTATTAACCCATTTCTGCTGATCTATGTATTTTCACATGGCCTTCTCTTACCAGGGAGGCGGCTGGCGTCCAGCTCTCTCCAGATTTTCCATCTTGACTCCTTTTACTACTTCCTATTTCCTCCTTGTCTCCTAGTCCCTCCTATCTTCCTTTCCTATTGGCCAACAGTGCTTTATTATTAACCAGTATGAGAAACATATACATAATGGCATCTCCCATCAACTCTATTCCAGGTATTGAGATAAATGAACTTCATGTTCTACCACAGTCTGAACTACACAGTGGGACCATATTTCCAAAAAGAGAATAACAACAAAAACAAAACTCAAAACCATAATTAACCCTTAAGGAATCAAGGTTCCATCAGGAGAAGAAGTCATAGGCTGGATCACCTCCTGCATCTATGCCATAAAAACAGCAACCATATGACCTCAGGTCTGCTTTCTAGAAGTCTAGTTACACACGTGTGTGTGCATTTGGGTGGAAGCCAGAGACAGATATCAGTTATCTTCCTCAACTGCTTTTCAGCTTATTTTTTCAGATAGGATTTATCAGTGAACTTGAAACTCACTGTTTTAGTTAGTCTGAGTGGTCAGCAAGACCTAAGGATTTGCTTATCATTGCCTTCTCCCTGACTTTCCTTACCCCATTGTCTAGGTAACAATGTGCCACCATGCCTAGTTTTACATGGGTGTTAAAGACCCACATTCAAGTAATTGTGCTCATATGGCAAGCACTTCAGCATTTGAGTCTTCTCCACAGCCACAATAAAAAATAGTTCATGAAAGGCATGAAGACAACTTGCAGTAAAAAATTTCACTGCTATTTATCAATCTGGCTCAACTTACCTAACTACTAAAAACATGCCACCAGCACACAGAAATGATGTTCAGTTTACCATAATTTTCTGTGGTCTAATGTGGGGGATCAGAAATACTTTTCAAAGAGGAAACAATATGTAGACTGTGCCCCAAAAAGGATAAGGATTCAGAAGGCTCTGATGAAGATAGAATCCATTCATTCACCATACATACAAACTGAGTACTGAAAAGCGAGACCAAGTCTTAATTAATGCAAGATGTTCAGGTATTGATCTCTATAACAAGGCATTTAGAGCACACTAGTACTAAATTCAGAAAATATGTCATGTATTATGTTACCTTAATAATGAGGATGCAGGGGTAAAGCAGATGTGAAAAGAGCAAAAAGAGTAAGACTGGACATGAAACAAAGACGTGCTACTAAACTAGACATTTATTAGCCATCTGTTACATGTGGACAGCATTGGGAAGAGACGATCATTTCCTTTTGGATACTTTGGGTTCCTGTGATTATAAGGTAGGAAAAAGTGGCATTCAAAGTACTGGAAGACAAGAATGATCTGAAAACAGAAAAGAAATTGGTTTGGGGAAAAGACATTCTTGAAAAAAATGGTAATATAGATCAATGGGAGAATACCTGCTAAGCCTACATGAGGTTCTAGGTTGATCCCAACATAACACACACATGCACACACACACGTACGCACGCACATGCACATGCACACACACGCACGCACACGCACACGTACACACTCGCTAGAAGCACATGAACCAAGGAAAAGGAATAAATTCCCAGGTACCTTTACATTTACCCTCCATGGTTGGAGGAATAGATGCGGCATACTTTCCAAGAGTTGATTTTATACAAGGAAAAGTGAGGGAGTCAAACTTTATTCTTTACTACTATAACTGAATGTACTTTATGAATATTCTCAATCAACTTTGGAGAATGGAAAAAAATGGCTATTTCAAGAGCTATCTATCTTGTGTTGATTTTTTTTTGTATATGACATATTCTCTGCCTATATTAGAAAGTAATGAACACAAGGCTTTAACCATAGAAATCTTGAAAACACAAAGGTCTATTCTATCCTGAATGAATTTACAGTGAAAAGACAGAGACTCACCATTAGACTGGTCTTCCCCATAGTTCTTATGGGATGGTGCATATAAGAACATCAAAGCAAAGACATACAGGTTCCACATTCCATAGATGCCAGTGAAGAAAGCACTGTTCACTTGAACTGTGACACCACCCCATTTCCAATGGCCTTCTGTCACCTATGGATAAAAAGGAAGACATTCAAGTGAAACAGAGAAGTGTAATACCAAAATAGAAATCAATTAACATGAAAGCCAAGGCTCCTCTTCAGATGGAAAAGTTAAGAGCCCTATAAAACTCCATATATTAATGTGAATGAAATCCATGTAAATTAAAATCTACTGAAAGTTTACTAGTGTCAGGAGCAAAGTCAGTGGTTCTTATTTTGGCTATGCATTAATATAACTTTGAGAATGTCTCTTCCTAGGAATGGAAGTTCACTTATTCTTTAGTTAAAGGATTGCATTTGACTCCATCTACAACTACAGTTTATTCTCAGCAATCTTCCAATATAATCAAAAGCTACCCAAGACAGAAACCATCTCTAACTTGCTTGCTGCAGCTGCAACATCTTTGGTGCTTAATGTACCATGTGTGGGAAGTAAACATTAATACACATTTACTCAATAAGAAAAAAGTGAAGCCTCTGGAATTCAGTTTTCTTAAAAACTTGTAGGGTTATAGATGAGAACTGAATATATATGTAATTTCTAGAAACTGTATGTCAGACACTATGATGTATCATATTTATTGATGAAATGCCATTCTAGGTAAACTGCTCATGAAGATAATTAGGAAGTTTCCATATGTTTTGTAGTTTTGTAAGAAATGGTCAAAAACTGCTTCTGTTTAAGATAATGACTTGGTAAATGTTTCAGAGTGCTTTGCAGATTTATGGTTTACACTGACAACTGCTATAGAGCTTTTGATCTGAATAATTTGTACAAGCACTGATCTCACTGAAATGATTATAGGAAATTTTAAATGTGGATAAAAGAAAGTAGTGGGTACATGTTTCTTTGACAGCTTCATGAGTCTGGGTTATACAAACCTTATCTAGGAGCCACTTCTAAATTGCAAGATGGCAAGCTCTGTTGGAATGTTAATAACTTCAACAAAAATGTTGAACTTGGCTCCTCTTTATGACAGAGTGGGTCTGTGTTCATTCAGGCCTTCCTTTGTATTTCCCATGACCCACTGGGGTCATAGTATAGTAACATTCGTTTAGTATTGATGATGTTCCATCACTATGCTAAGCACTTCACATGAGAAATATTATTTACTCTATTCTATAAGGTATGCAGGTATAGTGGTTTGAATGGGAATGATCTCATTCAAATATTTCATTTTTGAAGTATATTTGAATGCTTGGTCCCCAGTTGGTGGAACTGTTTAGGAAGGATTAGGAGGTGTGGCTTTGTTGGGAGAAGTGTCACTTTAGGATTAAGGTTTCAAAGGCCCACACCATGCCCAGTTAGCTTCCTCTCTGTCTCAGGCTTACTGATCAAGATGTAAGCTCTCAGCTACTGCTCCAGTGCCATGCCTTCCTGCTTACTGCCATGCTCCCTGCCATGATGGCCATGGACTCGCCCTCTGAAACTGCCAAGCATAAATAAATGTTTCATCTAAAAGTTACCTTGGTCATGGTATGTTAGCACAGAATCAGAAAATCAACTAAGACAGGAGACAATATTTCCATATCTTGCCCAAGAGTGCTCTGCTAGAAAGTCAGTCATGGGTCCAACTCCAGAAAGTCTTCTTAATGACTATACAACATGAAGGCAGGGCATTATCTTAAACAAGGTTGGTCTCTAAAAGCATCAGATCAAACAACTACTGTGGAAACTCACTTCATTGACCATTGCTCAATCAGTATTAAGTACCTAGAGACTGAATTTATATCTGTAAATGCTTATTTCCTGGTGGGCAAAGAGGTAAACTAAAAAACTGAATCATGTAGATATTGTAGTCCTGGAGTTTGGAAACTGAATTGTATTTTCCCCTGTTTTCTCAATCACTCATGCTCTAGACAGACTGAACTCTGAGCACATTCCCAATTATATGAACCACAATGGGCAACCTCAACACAGAAGGCCTTGTAGGTCCAAATTCTTACAATGGCAAGTAGCTATTTCCTATTTTCAAAGAGAAAACTCAAGAATTTGCAACAGCATTAACACCAAAAAATAAAAACCACACAACCCTTTACATACTCTTCCATTTTCCTAATTTTACATGTCAACAGACTCCTTCTGTATAGGGACCCATTTATACCCCTGCAGTCAAGTGAGAACAAGCCAACCAGCATTCCAGTAACAACAAGATTTCCAAACTCCCAACACAGGCTCTCTTATAGGAAATATTTCCTTATATCTAAGCCACAGAATGGTAATCACCAAAATAATAAATAAATAAATAAATAAATAAATAAATAACGAATGAACGAACTAGGGAACAGGCTCTCTAGGAGTTTACATATATCTTGGCCTGAATATCAGGTTTCTGGGCATTCCTTCAGTGAAGGTCAGTGAGCTTCTTCCCCACACTGTTCTGTTCCTTGCTAACATCACCTCTAAGCTAAACACCTCTCTCTTCCAGAAGGAACAGGGCTGAAAGACCAGACTGTGGTACAGCATTTCTTCATTGCTGTGACTCACACTATTAAAATAGCAGGCATTAAAGACTGAACCTCAGTCCTAGTTACAAAGCCTCAAGGTCACCACATTCCAACAGCTTCCTGTGCGCCTTTCATTCCTGGCCTCAGAGCTTCAATATCCTGGCAAGATTCCCCACATACATTTCATGGGACTTAAATGGAAGCTCTCCCAACAAGTATAATGGGAGCTTTAAAAACATCTCTTTTACCTAATGTTGAGGTAAATTTTAAAAGTTACCCAATGGATTTTCTTTCAGGTAAGCTCATTGCTGTGACATTACAAACAGATATTAGAAAATAAATCTTCTGATGACTATATTAACAGTATCAGGGAAACAGAGAGATATGCAGAAAACTGTCTTAGATAGCTATAAATAAACCTCAAAAAAAAAAAAAAAGAAAAAAAAAAAAGAAAAGAAAGAAGGAAAGAGAAAAAGGAGAAATATGTAGTGCTAATGGAATTTAAAGACATTATACCTCCTTAGAGTTGAAATCTACCCATCTGACCATATTGCAGCTAATATAAAAAGGAGGCTGGAGCCCAATACTGGGATAATGATAAATTAATCTTTCTATGCAAAGAAAAGCAGCAAATTCTGTTGTAATACAGCTTCTACCAATGTAAAATGTGCAACAGTCAAACATGTACAAGATTAAATTCAGGCAAAGCATAGCAATCTTGAGCATTAATTCCTCTAGAATTCAGGTAAAAGGAGTTCTGCAGAGCAAAGCCAGTGAGGAGGGCTGTGCCCCCAAAGTAGGTATGAGAGGGCTCCAGCTTTGCAAAATGCCAGAGGCAGACCTCAGAAATGGAAGTGTTCTTCCCTTTCATTTTCCTGGGAATATGGTACATCTTACTGGAGACTTCACTTTTGGATAAGGGTTCACTGTTCTTTCAGCTAAGGAACATATGTGTAGGAACAGCATATTGATGAGGGTCTGGAGGAACCAGGAAGCATGGTGATCATACAAAGAAATTAGCTAAAGATGGAGTCAAGCCTACTCAATCCCGAATCCTTTGCTTGCATATGAGTTTTTGGGTCTTAACTGAATTAAAGACCAATTCAGGAGCCAGAAACATGGATCAGATGTTAAAGGTGTTTCTTTCTGAGGTTGATGATCCAAGTTTTACCCCTGCAGTTCACATGGTGGAAGGAAAAAACTGACTTCTGTGGCATATGTGATACACGCACACAAATAAATGTAAGAAACATTTTTTTAAAAACTCATTCAGAATTAGCCACAGCTTTATTGTTTAGAATGAAGTTTTCAAGGCTTTATGAATGGTTTGCTATAAACACACTCCTATTACAAGTAAAAGAAGATGGAGTCAACAATGTGCAAACATATGTAGCTATATTTTTATTTATTTCTAGATGTAATCAAGCTTTAACAAAGCCAGAAACCCAATACACCCAATACATCCCCGCGGGCATAGCCAACAGAGCACTTGTGACCCAAAACTTGTGGTTCCCTTGGATGGAATTAAAGGTGTTTGAACTGAGCAGTAAAAAAGTATTCTTATTTTTATTAGTTTCTAATTGAAGTTAGTACTTCCTTTAGTTATGAATGTCCAAAACAAATCTTTAAAGTATAAGTATTACCTATGAAATGTTACTTTTGTACAAATTAGGTGCTGAGGACATATTTGTAATAAGTATGAGTTATATGTAATTATATAATTAAATACATACACACATATATCTATATATATATATCTATATCTATATATAATTGCATCTGATTCCCTTTGAAATCTGAAATATTTCATTTTACTTAATTTGGAAGCATTCTGAGATGAGAACCATAGCCTCACTAGGTTGTCAAAAGAACTGAAGAGAAATTTGCTAGCAGGTGAGAGGATAAATCACCCTCCTCCTAAGGCTCTGCCATAATGCTATGCTAGCTAAACAGATCCAGTGAAAGATCCAGAATGACTGAATTCTAGTCTACAACTTGTATGCATTTTGGTGAGTTACTAGCTAGCTAGCTAGTGAGTTACTAGCTAGCTCTTCACGATTCTGACACACCAGGGACTACTAAATACTTGGCAATATTATTTCTATATATGGTACAATTGTATAGTGAAAAAGGTTAATGTTAGTATGTTAAGAAATGTTAAATAACCCACTAAATAAGTACATTTCTGTAAAAGAGAGTATGTGACAACATCCAGAAGCCATGGGAATTATATTTTTGAAAACATGGTTAACAGTCCCTGTCCTACTTACCTCAGAAGAGGTTTGTTAAACCCATCTGACTAATATGTGCACAATACATCAGATTTTAGATGCACTTTTTCACTTCTGTAAGGAATCAATATTTTATGAGTACAATTATTATTGTTGAGATTTTAAAGTACATCAAACTTTGAGTTTTAGAAATAGTAAAAAGATAATTTTCTATCAATGGGACGTTTGAGTTATATTCATGCTTAAGTGGTAATTATCACACAGAATGGCTAAAGCCCTATCAAAGAATCCTTGTTAATGTTAGATACCAACTCAATAAAATTATCAAATTGTCAGTGTTACACCACAGGGCTCGAAATGTAAAATGCCCCTTCAATATGGCTACAGGTTTTAGTTTATTTAACAACATTCTACAAGGTAGGACTGGAAGGGAAAAAACCAGTCTATGTCACCAGCCTGTGGAAAGTCCCATACTGGAGTGGTTTTAAAAAACAAGGCTTAGTTAGCTAAACAAAATAAATCTCTCTGCTTTTGTCCTCAGCAGTTCTGTAAACTCTCTTGTGCTATAGGCAGTGATTACTCCAGGGATAGTGTCTTGAGAAGGCTTAAGATCCACTCACCTGACTAACAATGAAGAAGATAACAGTCATGGCTGCACAGGCCAAGGTGATAAGCATCAGGAACTTGAACCTGAAAATCAGACCCTATTAGGAAAGACAGGAAGAATGGTTGAATATATTTATTCAATTCTCTCTCTCTCTTCACACACACATACACACACACACACACCTGCAAAAACAAAATCCCTAAGAATAACCGTAAAATAATTTCACATGTTAACACCCTTTCTGCAGAGGTGAATGTAGTTGAAAAAATTCTTAGGCGAAATATTTTCTATGTTCTTATCTATCATGAAACAATGATACTGGAGCCTAGGAATTTACATGCAAAACACATCATTAAGCTACCAATTTCCCTGATAAACAGGTTATATAATTCTCCACAAGGATTCAAAGTTACCAAATGGAAGTTTTCTATAGTTAGAATGAAACTTTTCTCCAGTTTGGAAGGGGTGTATTCATCAAACTGAAATTGATTTGGTTGAATGTTCTCATTTGTCACTCCAGCTCTGGTAACAGAAAAGCCTTTGAAAGTACTTTGGTTTCCAAAAATTCAGGATTTAAGGAATGGTACCTACTGATTAGGTTGTCTTTTGTGTGATGATTCTGCAGTTTCTCCTCTTTTCACACAATAATCTATTTAAGCAACAAATCTAGTCAATGTGTCACCTGCATTAGAGATGGGAGGAAGCTAGGTGTTTCTCTTAAATAACTAATATAAACCAGAAGCAGATTATTGAACTCTATTTGAGCACCCACTGGCTATTTTAGAGAATGTGGAGTACTAAGAATCTGGGAAGCATGAGTCAGAAAGACTGCTCAGAGGATAAAGGTATTTGCCACAACACACATTCAGCAACCTGAGTTTAATTGCTTGAATCTAAAAGTCAAAATAGAGAGCAGAATCTTCACAGAGCTGTGACTTATACACTCACACCCGTACATCATATACATACACAAACAATAATTAATAATTGATTTTTTTAAGTTTGTAAATATTGTTTGGGTTAAATTCTGCAAGGGTTGGGAGGAAAGCTATATCCTAAGCTAAGCAAATTCTACATAGCACAGTAAGCACCTAGGTTCCATCAAAAGTTTTTCTTAAAAAACCCATTGGGCTGGTTTCTATCTTACTGATAAGAGAATACATTAACACCTTAGAACACCCAGGGAATAGTTGTTTGAGTGTCTTTTTATTTGCCCTGGACCCTATATGAGAAGTCTTTAAATTCTCTTCCTTCCTTCCTTTCTTTCTTTCTTCCTTCTTTCCTTCCTCCCCCTTCCCCCTTTCTTCCTTTTTCCCTGAGACAGGGTTTCCCTGTGTAGCTTTGGAAACTGTCTTGGAACTCACTCTATAGACCATGCTGGATCCAAACTCACAGAGATCCACCTGCCTCTGCTTCCAGAGTGCTCGGGTTAAAGGCCTGTGCCACTACCACTCTGGGATAAATTCTTAATTTCTACTTGTTTACGTGTTTATTTGTGTGTGCACATGCATGCATGCATGGAGAGAGAGGGAGAGGAGGAGAATGTGAGAATTTGGACACACACATGCCACAGTGAGTTTGTTGAAGTCAGAGAACGACTTTCAAGAGTTAGTTCTCTCTGACTATGAGTTCCAGAGAATAAACTCAGGTTGTCAGGCTTACATGGCAAGCACTTTTACTAACTGAATCATTTTGATGCCCCCTTAACATGTATTTGAAACTAAAACTTTCAACTTCCACAGCTGTGTGTTTATACACCCAGCTAGAGATCATGAACATCAGCTCTAGAATGAGCTAAGATAGCTGCTTACCTCATAATGCAGCCTCCGGACTTTGCTCATGGCTGGGAGACTAGATTGCTTCCCACTGATGTTTCGAAATACCTGAAATACCATGAAGCACAGAAACAGAAAATAGAGGCAGAGGCAGATCCCTGCTACAATGATGAAAGCCATCTGCAAGTACACAGTGAAGGAAAGGGCAAACATGTGCTAAGAGGGTACAGAACTCCTCCCGGCTGTGTTGATGATGCTCAACATTGTCTCCAAGTGTTCAAGAGGTTCCGAGGAAGGCACTACTATTAAAACCTGGTATTCTGATGCCACTGATTGGAAGGTATAAATGGAGCAAGTTTAGTAGTAAATGAAAGGGGGGGGGTTGGCAAGGGCCCAAAGAAAATAGAGTAAAGGAAGGGACTGTGGATTCAGATAGTACACCCATCAGGGAAATTTTGAGATTTACTACTAGAGCCCAGACTGTGAGAACCAGCAAGATCTAGGGCAGTGTGAATTGTTAGGAATAGACAACAGACTGCAACTCCTTTCTCTTGTAACAACTGGATCCCAAATCACCTATATTTTCCCAATACTTTGATAGGTATGAGCTCTACATCTACCTCACATTAAGTAGTATATTTAATGCAATTCTTCCTTTTTTCCTATGACCAACAGTGCTCTGGAATAAAGAGAATATGGTTAATTGCTCAGGACTTGAAATTTTATTTGCTTCCCTTACCCTTCATTCTATGTGTAAATTGAAAGGGTTTAAGTAGACAATGACATTGTTCCTCTTATTGTACAGTTACCATTATGGGGGTGGGGAATGGAAGAAGTTCAACCTTTTAATCTTAAAGGTACTGATACTATGTATTTTGTTTGCTCACAATATTCTGTGACATTAAGAAACTGATATACAAATCACCACTAGACAAGGTATATTCAGGGTACATGTCAAGGCATTAGCTATTAAGGAAGAGCACAATGCCAGGCTTTTTCCTCTTAGAATATGAAACATGATGTTCAGAATATTAGATTCTAAAACCAACATCCTTAAAGGTATGGGTTAAGACTTACTTTTCTTCACTGAAGTGATGCAGATGGTGATTATGTGGACCAACCATAAGCCTCAGCATTGCTCAAGAACTAATTTCCTTAGTCTCATTCCCATTGAGCCTCATGAACTAAAGGTGGTTATCCACTGAAACTATTATCAGAGATTCACACAAAGGCCTGGCTTTCCTATGGTAGCCCTGCATACAAGTAATTTCAGACTCCAGCTTTCCCACAGAAGGCTTGCACAATGGTAACTTTTGTACCAAGCTTTCTACAGCAGAAGACTCCCTCCCATATAGGTGACCCCTGTGCTAGGAGCCAGAAGGTGCCTCCATGACTCAAAAAGAAGCGTTACACCTTACAGAATAGATAACTTATGATATACTTCAGACCAGAAATTTTGAACTGAATCTAAAACCTATAGCCTGCAAGTTCTCCACTTTGACTGTTTTCACAGCTTGAAAACACATAGTAATTCTTCTCAATATTTACCTCTAATTGTTGCTTTTTGTCTGAGGACCATTGCCCTGACTGAGCTCATACAGAGAGTATTGACTGAGCCACAGAAAATGATAATGGAAGCCAGGCAGATAGGGATAGAAGAATGAAACCTCAAATCATGGAAGGATACAGCTAGTTCTGTTCCAACATCTGTAGTCCAGATACTGTAGAAAGGATTTGTGAGTTGCACTCCTCTATAAAAACAAAAACAAACAAAATGGAAAACACAATGGTATAGCACAGTGGAGGGAGGCATGGGGACTGTGGTAGGGTTGTTGGTATACTATATTTAGAAAACAAAATTCAGAGAGTATGAAAGGATGTAGAGCTTTAGAATATGATGAGCCCAAGCACTTTACATGTACAAAGGGATAAGCCTTTGATTTAGTCACAAACTTCATCTGAGAACATTTCATTCTCTTAACCACCATTCTTTATTTAAAATCTCTTCCTAGAAAGATGGAAGTAGACACAGAATGGCATATTTCATCTTGGAGTGACTCCAATACCTGCTTACCTTTCACACATGTCAAATATGAAGAGGCAGAAAGAGCCAACAGCAATTGGTCCAACTTGCTTCCAGTATCCTGCAATGCGATTACGCTCATGCTGATCCTAAGAAAAAAACAAATTGAAGAAGGAAAAGAGCAAAGTTATTCCATAGGTAATCCAGCCAAACACTTATTGTATACTGGATAGATTACAGCATTAGGAACAAAAGAGATAACTCTCAGTGCTCATGTCAGTTGAGGGAGAACATTCACCAAAAAGCCCATTCCCTGGGGCTGTCGATAAGAATGCACATAGCTCTGTGACCTAACAGAGAATGACCTTAGGGAGATTTTTGGCCCACAAAATTAATTGCTGTTTAGCTAATAACTTTTTTTGTTTATAAAGGTAAAGTGATAACCAAGGAATAAAAACATTAAGGTACTTCATTATGTCAAGTTTATCTTCTTATATTCATCATCACAAGGAACAATTTTCTGCCTTCCCCACCTGCTTTCCAGACAGGGTCTTGAGATACAGCCCATGTTAGCCTGAAACTCAAAATTCTCCTGTTTAAGTGTCCTGCATTTGCCACAAGTCCAGTATGAAGTATTCCTTTTAATGGGCAGTGAAAGAAAAATGAGGAAAAAAATTATATATATGTGAAATATCTCCTGCCTTAAGCAGGAATGGTGGCCTATACCATCTTCTTGTGTACAATCACTCTGGTTGGGGCCCTGCTGTCATTATTGCCGGGTCATTGCTGGAAGCACATTCAGATTGCAAGAACCCTCAGGTGGAATTTCACAGTGGGTAAATTCCCCTCTTCTTATACTGTTCTCCTGCATAGGGAACTGGCTTAGAGATTTAGTTTTAATGACCAAATCGTAATGAAACTTAAAAATAGCACCTGCACAAGCATAATGACTCAGTGGGTCAAAGCAGCTGCAACCAAGCTTGACAAAATGAAATCAATCCCTTGGGACCCACACAGTGGAATGAGAGAACTCCAGCAAACTGACCCCCGACTTACACACACACACACACACACACACACAATGTAATTTAAGTAAAGAATTTTAAACCCCCTTCTTTTCTGAAGCCTAACTTGAAAACAAGGTTCTTACTGATATAATTGCATCTTAGCCACAATATAAGGATGATGTCATTCTTATTTTTATTATGGTAACTCAGCCTCTCTAAAATAGAATTTGATGCCACACAAAGAGGTTGGCATCCTTGGGTAATAGGAGTCACTAGGTCACTTGGTCAAGCAGCAAGCTGGAAAAGGGCATAATCACATTCTCTAGCTTGCTCTTAAGGCCAGGGCAAGCAGAAGTCAAGGGACAAGAGATAAAAATAACGATCAGACTTCATATGTTTCTCTCCCACTATATTATTGCATTTTTTTCCTAAAATGAAACAAAATCCACTACACATTAAGACTTTCCACTACATTTCACAAACAAGGGACCTGAGATTAGGGCACTTGTCTCAAAACATTCAGCAAGTTATTAGTGAAGAAAGACTGCGAACTTGCAGGAGTAGAATTCAACCTGTGACCTCTCATTTCTTTTACCTCCCCACAGCTTAAGACAGTCCTAAGCAGGCAGGCTTCATCTCAGCAATTTCTCAGAGCAGCTATGGATAGACAGATGTCTCTTCCCCAGGAGATCTTACCATCATGTGCTCGCCACAGAAGATGATCCAGAAAGAAAGAAGCATTGCATAGAAAATGCCCTGCCGGATGTCACCAAATAGCAGCATCCAGGTCCAGTCAAACCCAATGGAAAACCATTCCACAGGGATATTGATAAAGGTCATGGAAATCCCAAGGGCAAAGATGACTCTGAGAAAATACCCAGAAAAGCCAGGTTACTGCGGAGAAAAGACTTTAAAAATCTAAAGCCAATTTTGAGAACTGAGATGTTATTTATTCAGACTTTAGCAAATTGATCAGTTTCTTAGCATTCATGATAAATTTTCACCCTGAGATACAAAATGTCCTAGCTTGCATCCTTGGAAAATGAAGGAGTGTCACACTAACTTCTGGGTAACTAAATGGAGCCCCCTGAGAGATACACACTTTAATCCCATTGCCTTCTTAAACAGATATGCTTTAGTATAATTGTATCCTCTTACATCTTGATAGTATCACTGACCCAATCATTAAGAATATGCATCATAAGTCACTACTGTGATATCCTTGGCAACTCTTAATTGTGTAAGTGTATTTGTTTCAATAAAAAAAAAACTATACAACTACACATAAATACAATTGGCTTCTTGTTTAGCTTTTCCTTTATCACACTATTACTTGCCCCTTCTTTATTAAAATGTCATTATGATTTATTTATACATTTTTCATATCCACAAATACATATCCATAACAAAAACAATGTACTAAGAATTACTGTTACGGCTACAGACACATATATGGGAAAGACTAATATCTTTACTGAGGGAACTGCATTTAATGGGAAAGCCTGATAAAGAGGCATTGAAATAAGCAACATCATCACAGTTTAGAGGTTCAGAATACTGCCAGGATTGCCTCTTACAGAGATAGAAACTAAGTGCACAGAGAATTGAGGAAATGAGTGTGAAAATGTCAGAGAGCGGAGTGTAAATGGATGCAGAGAGGATTGGAAGATGCAGTAATATTTATAGATCTACAGGTAACACATTTTAGGAAGTAAAAGGATCTGAGAGCAGAAAAATAAAAGAGGAACAGCTCATGAAGAAACTTACATTGTTTATCTTTAAAAAGAGACTAGCAAGCTAATAAAAAGTTTAAATACTAGAATTATACCATTTATTCACTCAACAAATACTAACTTAAAATTATAAAGACAGATAAAAAGAGAATGGAGAGTGATTTATATAGGGTGAATGCGGGGGGACAAAAAAAAGAAAACACTTCAATGAGAAACATCAAATAGGAATTAAAGGAGCAAATGAGGCATTAATATACCTAGGAAGTACTATTTCAGATAACAAGAATAAGTTCAAAAGCATTGGGGTAAAATCTTAGAATGAGAGGCATTTGAGTGTTATCACAGGTGATATGAGATATGATCTAATGGAGTTTATAGGACATGGCAAAGCTAGTGGACAGCTTTCAGTAGAGAGTTGAGTGATCTTATTGACACGTAAAGGGAACGGGGAGGCTTTGGGTGAATAGATTGTAGGAAAGAAGATAGTGCAAGGAGGTACTTCTAATAATCAATCTGAGCAATAATGTGGGTGATCAGATTATTAAGGGGGTAGCAATGGAGACTGTAAGGCTTCAAGGGTATTTAATAGAGGTGTGACTAACAAGTAGAATAATAAGTAGCTTCCCTCTTTCCAGTCCAGCAAGAGGAAAAAGCAAAACAAAACAAACAAACAAAAGAAGTTGCCTTTCACCAATATGAGGAGAACTAGAAGAGCTATAGGTGGCATCAGAAAGAAGTCAAGTATTCTTTATATTACATCACTAGCAGAGCTAATAAAGAAAGAGGTACAAAGTCTCTTCCCTGGATCAACAGTGTAAAAGGCTAGAAAAATGGGAAACAGTAATGAAGACTAAGTGTTGGCCAGCAAAGGAGAATAATAGCAAACAATAACCATGAAGGAAGAAAGAGTGATCAGCTATGTAGAATGCTGCTCATGGTCAAGGAAGGTAAAGACTAGAAGCCAACCATTAGATTCGACTATGGAGGTGATTCATGAAACTGTGAAATGGCATAGTGGAGATCAACCAACATTAAAAAGGAATAAAGACAGAAATAGAGCAGATATGTAGGTAAAATTTTTTGAAAATTCTTGTAAAAGGAAAAAAAAAGGTATAATTATTTCAGGAAGAAGTACTTTCTCATGGTGTAGCATATGCATATATAACAGTAATAGAAGTAAGACAGCAAAAAGGAGAAGTTGTTAATGTGAGAAAGAAATAGCTTATATCTACAGGAACATCATCCTGTGTGTGGGAGGGTTTGAATTGAGTTGGGAGTGAAAAAGTTCATTCATTAACAGAAAAAGATCTGAAATCTGACTATGGGAAAGAACAGCAAAGACAGCAGTGTGAGGAGGAGCATTCTGAAGATTTACAAATAAGTTGTATGTTAAATCTGGAGGTGACAGAGTCCACCATGACTCTTAGTCAATTCACCAACTTAACTCACACAATGGCTGCTTGAACTAGACATGCAAAATAGGAACATGGCAGACTATAGAAAATGGCATTTTCTAAGTGTGATCTGAATCAGTTCTTACTTTTCCAGTAGCACTGGGGGTCGGGACATCATGGTGATCCTCCTCCAATACCACACCATAATGATGAAGATACTGGGTGTGAGGAAGGTCTTCATTGCAAACCACACCTTAGTAAAGCCTCCATTTTGGTGGATTCCCTAGACAGAAACCAATTATAATTCTGGAGATGAATAAATATTAATGTTTTTTTAAGACCATATACAGATGAGCAGTTTGCCTACCAGAAAGTGTTCATAGTCACAGAAGATACTGCCCTCATAGACTCTCTGTCCCCTCCTTAGATATCATAGAAATATATCCAAAAAAGGTGGAAAGAAAAGGAAAAAAAAAAAAAAAAGGGCAATGCTATGCCAAGGAATTAAGAACATAATCAAAGATTTTTTTTTTTTTTCCTGCAGGGTCTTCATTCAACATTGGAGATTGCAACATGAAAAATAAAAGACTCAGAAATTGATATTGGGCTTCAAACTTCAGGTTAAAGATCAGAAAAGCAAAACATCTGGGCATTAACTCTTACTCTACCTCAGACTGAAAGGCGATCCTGGTTCCACAAAACCTCATGCTGTAACCTCTCCATAGCGTGGTTGGAAAATCCTGAGACTTCAGTGTCTTCCTATCTTCAGTGTGGCTGGAGAATGAATCCCTCATACTGAGATCTTGCCTGTGTTATATACCCCCCTTCTGCTGTGATACCAGGAGCTGAGATCATCTTTGTGTGAGTTGTTTCTCTTTAAAATTAAATTAATCTTGTATAGATATGGGTGGCCTTGAACTCACATAGATCTGTCTATCTCTTAATCCTGAGGCCTAGGATTAAAGGTGTGTACCACTACCTTGTAGCTTCTGGCTGCTGGGATTAAAGGTGTGTATTACTACTGCCTGATCTTTATAGCTTGCAGCTGACTTTGCTTTCTGAATCCTCAGGTAAGCTTTAATAAATCATAAATAATATATCAACTTAGGAGATACTATATAGGTTCAGTAAGAGGTATCAAAAAGTAGATTTAAATTATGTTTGTAACATGTCATTAAATGAAAAAAAAAAAAAAAAAAAAAAACCCAAAGGCCAAAAGCACAAGTCATTATAGATAATTTTTATGCTTCTCTGTATTTTTTTAATTTATTTTCTAATTTTCTTGTATGTGTGTGAGTGAGTTTTGATTTAAAATGTAGACTCCTTATGCAATGTTCTCTATCCTTCACTAAACAAACAACAAGGACAGAACCTAAGTCATAACTGTTACAAATTACATTTGTAATTTTCAAAGTAAAAACATAATTATTCTTATCTTGTTTGTTATACAATAAAGATCATACTATGACCTTAGAAATAACTGCAATAGTTTTATGTGATCTTAAGACTACTTGAGGTATCACAGAGCCTACCACATCCATGAAGAGAGGCTAAGGCACTGAATTCCACCTTCAGATTTCCTGTGCCATGTTGGCATGGTCTGACCACCATGTGTGGATGAGCAAAAACATACAGCACATCAGGGATATGCTCACTCTTTTACCTTGAGTTGTAAAAAAAAGCAAAAGAGATCTTTGATCCATTTGAACTTAAGTTTTGTGCATGACAATAGACATGGGTCTATCTACAGTCTTCTATGTACCAGTATCCAGTTATGTCAGCCCCATTTGTTAAAGATGCTTTCTTATTTCCATTGAATAAATTTAACTTCTTTGTCAAAAATCAGGTGTTTGTACGTGTGTGGGTTATTATCAGGGTTTTCAATTCAATTCCATTGTTCTACCTGTCTATTTTTTGTGCCAATACCAAGCTGTTTTCAAGACTATAGCACTTGAACAAATTGGTGCAGGAGACTGCTTCCTGAACACCAGTAACACAGACACTGAGATCGACAATTAATGAATGGGAACTCCTGAAACTGAGAAGCTTCTGTAAGGCAAAGGACACATAATGGCAGCCCACAGAATGGGAAAAGATATTCACCAACCCCACATCTGACAGAGGGCCAATTTCCAAAATATACAAAGAACTCAAGAAGCTAGTTACCAAAACACCAAATAATCAAATTAAAAAGTGGGGTACAGAAGTAAATAGAGAACTGTCAATGGAGGAATCTAAAATGGCTGAAAGACAGTTAAGAAAGTGCTCAACATCCTTAACCATGAGAGAAATGCAAATCAAAACAACTCCTATCAGAATGGCTAAAATCAAAAAACACCAAAGACAGTATGTGCTGGAGAGGATGTGGAGAAAGGGGAACACTCCTCTACTGCTGGTGGGAGTGCAAAATCCTACAGCCATTTTGGAAATCAGTATGGCTGTTCCTCAGGAAAAGGGAATTAGTCTACCTCAAGATCCAGTAATTCCATTCTTAGGTATATACCACAAAAGATGTACATTCATACAACAAGGACATATGTTCAACTATGTTCATAGCAGCATTACTTGTAATAGCCAGAACCTGAAAGCAACCTAGATGACCCTCAACTAAAAATAGATGGAGAAAATGTGGTACATTTACACAATGGAGTACTACTCAGAGTAAAAACACATAGAATCCTGAAATTCACAGGAAAATAGATGGAACTAGAAGAAACCATGCCAAGTGAGGTAACTCAGTCACAAAAAGAGGAACATGGTATGTACTCACTTATATATGGCTTTTAGATATAGAGCAAAGGATTACCAGCCTATAATTCATACCTCCTGAAAAACTAGGAAGCAAGGAGGACCCTAAGAGACACATACATGGTCTCCCCCCGGAGAAGGGGAAAGGAACAAGATCTCCTGAGCAAATTAGGAGCATGGAGGAAGGGGAAAAGGAGTTAGAAGAAAGAGAAGGGGAGAAGAGGAGGGGAGGGGTGGGCATGAGGAACAGGAATATTAAGATAGGGAAGGAATAGAGAACAAGGAAAGAGATACCATAATAGAGAGAGCCATTATAGATTTAAGGAGAAATCTGGCACTGGGGAAATGCCCACAGATGTGCAAGGGTGAACCCAACTAACAATCTAAGCAATAGTGGGGAGGCTACTTTTAGTGCCCTTCAATGACATTAAGATTGACCTTATATGCCATCCTAGAGCCTTCATCTAGTAGCTGATAGAAGCAGAAGCAGACACCCATAGCTAAACACCAGTCGAACTCCTGGAATCCAGTTACAGAAAAGGAGGAGCAATGAGTAAAGGGGTCAAGACTAGGCTGGAGAAACCCACAGAATCAACTAACCTGAACAAGGGGGAGCTCATGCATCCTAGTCTGATAGCTGGGAAACCAGCATAGGATGATAGAGATACACTGAATATGAGTATTAGTTAGGAGGACTGGGCAATCTATATGTGGACTTTGGGAGTCCATCCCACATAGAGTGATACTTCCTCAGCATAGACATATGGGGTAGGGCCTAGACCCTGCCCCAAATGATGTGACAGACTTTGAAGATTCCCCATGGAAGGCCTCACCCTCCCTGAGGAGCAGAAAGGGGATGGGCTGGGGTTTGGTGGGGGTGAAAAGGGAGGATGGGAGGGTGAGGGAACTGGGATTGAAATGTAAAACATTTGTTTGGTAAGCCTTACCCCAATGTTGCTTGTGGCTATTGTAAAGGGTGATATTTCTCTGATTTCTTTCTCCCTTCTCTTTGTCATCTGAAAAAAGTAGGGCAGCCTTGTCTTGTTCCTGATTTTAGAGGAATCATCTTAAGTTTCTCTCCATTCAGTTTGATGTTGGCAGTTGGTTTGCTGTATATTGCTCTTATTATGTTTAGTTATGTTCCTGTTATCCCTGATCTCTCTAAGACCTTTATCATGAAAGGGTGTTGAATTTTAACTTTGTGGCTCTAAAGAAAGAATTCTAGCCAGTAGGAGTGACGCTTCAATTTGAAAGTCAGCTAATTTTTTTCATATTCTCTGTTGATATTGAATTACAAATATAAAAACATGGCCTTTTGGTGGTCTTAAATAAAAAAAAGACAACTTAAAATACACAACCAGTCAAGGCGAGGAGAACAAGAGGCTGGATGCCCAGCCCTAGAGAAAGATGTACCACACTTCTCCTCCCAAGTTTCAGAAATCATTTCAGAAGAGGAGGCTGAAAGAGCCAGAAGAGGTAGATGGTTACAAGGAAGCATCATCTGAGCACAGCAAGGCAGCTGTACATGTAAACTGTTAGCAGTTGTCAGAGAATGCACAAAATCTGTACAAGCCTAACCAGACCAAATCACAGCATGGAGAAGAGAGTTGGGCACACAACCCTACACCTATTCAGAGCAATTGGCTACTGGGGAAGTAATGATTTTGTTTTATGTAAGAGTGCAGCCCTTGGTAAGTCAACAAACTCCAGTGGAAGAATATATACCCGATAATATTTTGAGCAGCATAAGTTAGTCTTGAATGCTTTTTTGTTTTGTTTTGGTTGGTTGTTTTTCATGGCACAAAGTTGGGAGGATAATAAAGGAAACATGCATGGATCTGGAAAAAGTTGCTGGGTCAAGAATGATTTAAACACATATGAAGTTCAAAACTCTTAAAGAACTCATTAAAATTAAAACATTAATATTAAAAATCATGCATGCAATGCTTGAACAGTTTTATATAACTCCATGCAAATCATCTTAATTTAGAATTTTGATCATCATGGTTATGTTGCTATTCCCAATTCTCAGATAAGCCAACAGATAAGCATAAAAATGGCAGGATTAACAGAAGAATTTTCCTCCTACATGCTTCCAGGGCCCTATGTGTGCATAGAGATGGAAATACAAATACAAAATTATTTACACATATATGAATACTGTACTCTTGACAGCTGCTTCAAGGTCTCAATCTGCTGGTTCAATTATACTCACTTACCACCAATCGAATATCCTTTATCTCCCCAATCCCAACATTGATTTTCTTCTTCTCATTCACTGGTAGCCGGATATTTAGAAGATAATACTTATGAGCCACTGACCCAATTTCCATGAAAGGAAGGACATCACATTCATAATGACGACCTTCGTGCTCTAGAGTCTGGAAAAAGATTAGATGGAATGAGGCAGATTACTGTTTACAAAAGACTATATGCATTCATTTGGATTAAGCTAATATCACTAATTTTTTAAAATGCTAATGTGTTAAGGTGCACATAAAAGGCACAGATCTACAAGGCATACTGGAATCCTGGTGTCCACTGAACTACTTCATAGAGATGCAGGAAAGGAGGAGAGGAAAAGAGTGGGGTGAGGAGGGAGGGGAAGAAATTAGCCCCATTTGAGGTAAAACCAAAAAAATTTTAAGTAGAAAGCAGAGATCTCTTTGGCACCTTTCTCAGACCTAGAATCCACATTAGAGCTTTGCATCAGACTGCTCTGTTCTACTATGATTTAGGGAACTCCTAAAAGACCTCTAAAGACTCCTTGTGTATCCAGGAGAAAAGAAATTGGTGAAATCCACCACAACCTTGATGATGGTTATTCATTTTCACAGTGAAATAAAAGCTGAAATTATCTTCCTCTTATCAATCTGACAAAAAAAAAAAAAAAAAAAAAAAACCCACAGTACACTGGGGCTGAAGAAATGGCTCAAAACTTAAGAACACTTGCTGTTTTTGCAGAGGATTCAAATTCCACTCTCAGCACCCACACAGCAGCTTAAACATGATTATAAGTAGAACTTCCAGATACCTTATTCTGGCTTCTATGGACTGTGTGGTTGTTTGAAAGAAAATGGCCTCCATAGGGAGTGGCGCTATTGGGAGGTCCTGCTTTTTTGGAGTAAGTGTGGCCTTGATAGAGGAACTGTGTCAAAGTGGGCTGAGCTTTGAGGTCTCCTATGCTCAAGATATACCCAGTGATATAGACTCCTGCTGCATACAGATTAAGATGTAGAATGCTTAGCTCCTTCTCTAGCACCATGTTTGCCTGAATGCTGTCATATCCAACCATGATAATAATGAATTAACCTCTGAAATTGTAAGCCAGTCCCAATCAAATGTTTCCCTTTATAAGAGTTACCATGGTCATGATGTCTCTCCATAGCAATAGAAATCCAAACTAAAACAGGCTTTATGCAGGTGGTGTACTTACATACATACAGAAAAAAAAATTAATACACATCTGTTATGGGAATTCAATTCATTTCTGCCAATGACTTTTGGGGTGACTAGCCCTATGGGCGTGGTTTTCTCTGGGAACATGACCAGAAAAAAATTAAAATCTAGGGTCTAATGTTGCTACAAATTTCTTTCCAATCATATTTCTTTTTTGCTCCTTAGAACCTTTCTTTAGATATATTAGTATCTTAAAAGTTAAACATTCTGTTTTGATATTAATAATGTTTAAATTTTTCACAGTGAACAATGAATTTTCCTAACAGCATTCTCTCAAGTATATAAAACGACAATGGGTCCCTCAACAATGACTCTATCTGGTCCATAATAATGCCATTTGAGACACCACTCAAAATTAGTTTTGAACTACAAATTGCTCAGGACAATTCCAAGGTGGCTAGTTGAGAAGGTCCACCTTCTTATACTACTCTAGGAAGAACTGCAGATAAGCCTTACTCATTACTCTGAGACTGGCTAAAAATGTAATAACTAGTTTTCATGAGACTTAACATTGTTTTAGTTTTTTGCAGTATCCCATACAGATAGTGACCCCCCTCCCCCAGACAACTAGAAGTAATTCTAAAATTATGCTTCCTCTCCCAATAAATAGAATGGGTGGGTTTTTGTTTTTCTCAGGTTTGTAGATAATTGTTATCTGCAGGGGTTGGTTATAAGTTGTTATAGGGTTTGGAGCAGAGTAATAAAGATTAGACTATGGAATCCCATTTGGAAAAAAAGGGGGGAGATAGATAGGATAGGACAGGACAATAAGGTAGATTATTATATCTACTTGTAAACTAAATTAGCAACTATTAGTTTTAGACAATTTGTATTGGTGTAGATTCTTGCATATTGATACAAATGTAAAATTATTTTTCTATTCTTGTTTAAGATAATATCGATGTAAATTCAAAGTTATTTTTGCTATATTACATATGTTACTATTTCTGTTTAAGATTTTTTTGTGTATTGATACAAATGTAAGATTATTTTTGTCACACTGTAGGTATGTTTCTACTTCTGTTTAGTATATTTTGTATATTGATGGAAATTAAGATTACTTTGTCCTATTGCATTATACATTTCTACCTTTGGTTAAGATAGTTTTATATATTGTCACAATTTCAAGGTCATTGTTCTTATACTGTACATTTATTTACAGATTGTTTATCTTACTTTTTCCACTTTAAAATTTTTGATTTCATGTTACATTCTAACCAGTTTTCCCTCCCTTGCCTCCTCCTGCCTCTCACCCCCCCATGCACCCCCAGTCCACTCCCCCTCATAGAAAAGGGCTCCCATGAAGAGTCAACATAGTCTGGTACAAAAGGTTGGGGCAGGGCCTGGGCCCTCTCCCATGCTTAAAGACTGAGTGTGGCATCCTACCTTTGAGAATTGGCTCCAACAAGCTAGCTCATGTACTGGTATTATATTAAGGTCCTAATGCCTCTAGGCATAGCATTTCCCTGTAATCCTTCTGCTGCATACAAGAAACACACCTCAACCTCAAAGACAGACATTATCTCAGAGTAAAGTGTTGAGAAAAGATTTTCCAATCAAATGGTCCTAAGAAGCAAGCCAGTGCAGCTATCCTAATATCTGACAAAATAGACTTCAAACTAAAAATAATCAAAAGAGATGGAGAAGGATAATTCATAACCATCAAAGGAAAAAAATCCATCAAGATGAACTCTCAGTTCTGAACATATCTAAGTAGAAGGGCAGATTTGTAAAATAAACATCGCTAAAGCTTAAATCACACATCAAACCCCACACACTAATAATGGGAGACTTCAACACCTCACTCTCTCCACTGGACAGGTCTGCCAGACAGAAACTTAATAGAGAAACAAGGGAATTAACAGTGATTATGACTCAAATGGACTTAACAGACATTTACAGAACATTAAACCTAAACACAAAAAATATATACCTTCTTCTCAGCACCTCAAGAAACCATTTCTAAAATTGACCACATAATTGACCATAAAGCAAATCTCAACAGATACAATATTTGTAGTAGCAGAACCTAGGAGCAACCATGAAAAATGGATCAAAAAAAAAAAAAAAAAAAGATGACTTCATGAAAATTTCAGGCAAATGGATAGAACTAAAAGAAACCATCCTGAGTAAGGTAACACAGACACAGAATGACAAGCAGGGTATGTACTCACTCATAAGTGGATGTTAGACATAAAGCAAAGGATAACCAGCCTACATTCCACAACCCCAGAGAAGCTAAGAAACAAGAAGGACCCTAAGAGAGGCATACGTGGATTCCCAACCCCAATAAGGGGAAACAGACAAGATCCCCTGAGTAAATTGAGAGGTGGTAGGATGTAGAAGAGAGAGGAGAGAAGAAAGGGAGTGGGGAGGAGAACATGAGGGATTGGGAAGGTTGAGTTGAGGAAAGGACAGGAGAGCAAGGAAAGAGATGCCTTGATAGAGGGAGCCATTATGTGGTTAACAAGAAACCTGGCACTGGTGAAATTTCCAGGAATCCACAAGGATGACCCCAAATAAGAATCCAAGCAATAGTGGACAGGTACTTTAACCCTTCCCCTATAGTCAGATTGATGCCTACCTTAGTTGCCATCATAGAGCATTCATCCAGTAGCTGATAGAAGCAGAACCACAGTTCCACAGCTAAACATTGGGCTGAATTCCTGGAGTCCAAATGTAGAGAGGGAGGAGTGATAATATGAGCAAAGGAGTCAAGACCATGTTGGGGAAACCCACAGAAACAGCTGACTTGACACAGTGGGAGCTCATTGTCCCCAGACTAACAGCTGGAGAACCTGCATAAGATGGAACTAGGATCCCTGAATGTTGGTGTCAGTTGGGGGGACAATCTATGGGGCCACTGGCAGTGGAACCAGTATTTATCCCTAGTACATGAACTGGCTTTTTGGAGCTCATTCCCTATGGAGGGTTACCTTGCTCAGGCTAGATAGAGGGGAAAAGGCCTCAGTTCTGCTCCAAATGATGTGACAGACTTTGATGATTCTCCACAGGAGGCCTCACCCTTTCTGAGGAGTGGAAGGAGGATGGAATGGGGAGATGGTGGAGGGAATGGGAGGACAGGAGGGAGAGGGAACTGAGGTTGGTATGTAAAACAAGATTATTTTGAAGATTAAAATAAAATTAAAAAACAAAAATAAATATTTGAAATACAAAATCCCTGACTATTGCCAAGACTGGGTCGGACAGTCTTTCAAATTTTCCTGCTTGTAAAAATGGTCTGTCAGATATTCTAGGCCTATAGCCAAAGCTGGATGGCCCAACATTATAAACATTACAACCAGATGTTTCTGTCATTTCTTGCAATTTTTGGAAGTCACTTACTTGTACTTCCTGTTTACTCAGGTAAAATTACTTTCCTTCTTTGGTCTTGGGACTTTGATGGGGTTGAAGACTAGATTCTTACAGTTACAATCCTCTTGTATCTTAGCTAGAGGGATATCAGTATAAGACATAGACTCTTCAGGAAAGGACAACTATTGGAGTAAACTCTGTAGTTTGCCAACTACCTATAGTCTGGACAATTAGAGTGTGTTTATTGCTTGATATTGTTCTTGTTGGTTGTAGTTCCATTTTTATGTTATTACTATCTTTCTTCTGGACAATGCTTGATAACTGTTCTCATTGTATATAGTTTTATGTTAGGATTAGAACCTTAACTAGACAAAAAGGGGGGGGGGAAATTATGGAAATTTAATCTATTTTAGCCAATGACATTAAGGGTGAGTAGCCCCATGGAAATGGTTTTCTCTAGAGACATGACTGGATAAAACTAAGGAGATCTCATGCTCTCATGTGGGATGCCCCTCTGTAAGCTGTGAATATGTCTTATTACCATTGGTTAATAAAGAAGCTTACTTACTTGTAAGCCATGGTCATTTGGTGATACATAGAGTAGTAGAAATGGGTTAATGTAATTGTGAGAGCCGGTCAGTAATATGCCTGAACCATTGGCAACGCAATTATAATTAATACTAAGCCTCAGAGTGATGATTTTATGAGCTGTGGGATTGGGCAGAACACCTAAAAGCTTCTGGCTACATCTGCCACCCACCATTTGGGATGGATCCACATAATACCTAAAATAGCTTTAAAGGGTTCTAAACATGCAGAGATGAAACTGCATTGGGCTTCCTAGTCTCTCATGCTGGCTACAATGTGGAGATGCATCTCTGGGCAGCTGCCCATCAGATGGAACTGGCCAACAACCAGCATGAGCTAAGTAACATGGTGGATTCCAAAGTCTCTTACCGGGGCCACAGTACAGAGAGATTTCTCAGGCACTGCCTGTGGGCTTGGGAACACAGCTGCATGGATCTAAGAAGAGTGCAACTACATGCTACTTAGTACTGCTTCCCAGCATTGGGGGGTCGAGGCTGGTGAGCATGACTCTCTCCGGTACCTCCGTCATGTTGGAAAGTTAACCAACAGTCAAAGTGGCTGCTCTGGTCCTAGCCACACCTGCTTAACAATTTAAAGCACCGATCAAAAAATAATTACAGCTACACAATAAGGACCAGTTCAGACAAAAACAAAGGCCTCTAAATGGGTCACAATATGTTTGATGGGCTTGGGAGAGAGGGAATAGACAGAGTGATAGATAAAAATGAAAATAATTTAAGGATACCAAGTTGAGGTCCTTAAAGGAGAAATAGAATAATAATTAAAAAAAAATTATAATGGACCACCATGTAAAGACTGAAAATACACAGAGTCTGGATTGTATATACTATTGTGTTTCCTTTACAATTGTTGACTGTTAATAAGCTAACTACAGAGAGACATTTGGTTGTAGGGGCTACTAAAGCTAAACCTCCATAAGGTATCTTGACTTCAAAATTTGGGTCTAAGGACATGTTGCTTTGGAAAAGAGGGTCTGCTTTTGTTTCCATAGAAGATGAGAAGTTGTGGATTCCTTCCAGGCTAATATGGTTGGGTCAAGAAAGACACCCCCACCCAGCTCTGAGAGGTCTCTGATGGGAGCTATGGCCCAGGAGACCCAACATCCAAAAGAGCTTCAAAGCAACTAGATGAGATGATGCAGCCTCAAGACTACTATAGGCAAGACTTGAATATAATTCTAAACTTTCTCAGGATCTCCATAAGACTACCAGTACCCCCAATCAGCAGGAAGTGGTATAGAAAACTACACCCAAATTACCAAAACATTGTTTATAAATGTTTGTTTACATTTAAAGGGGGTTGTTTATAAATAATTACTAGTCATAGTCAATCTCTTTCTAAAGAAAAAAGGGGATATATGATATAGAAATAAATGCTTTAAATTGGTAGGGATTTTGGTTTATTGATACAAATTTAATTTTTATACTACATGCATATTTGTACTCTTGTTTAAGGTGGTATGTTTATTCAGCTAATTTAAAATAGTAATGTATAGTTAAGAAATACAAACTAATAGTCATCTATAAAAGTCAAATTATAGACATGTTATGTTTTTTAAATATACAGAGATTTATTTCAGATGGACAGATAATCTTCAAGCTCTAGAAAGACAGAATATGGCATTGAAAAAGTTTTAAGAACTTAGACCTTTCTTGACAGTGAAATATCTGCTCCTGGCAGCACCAATTACTTCAAGAAGGCATTGAAGAAACTTGTTATGGAGTTTGCTTTCAATGTGGCAAGACTAGTCATTTGGGCAAGACACTGCTTGACAATATGAGGTATGGGCCGGACATACTGGACCTATGGAAAAATGACTGATGAACTTGCCAAAACAAGGTGGGAGAGTCCTTTAGGGTTCCTGCTTCACTGAGAAATCTGCCAGATACACTAGGCCTATAGAATGAAGATGGATGCCTCAATGTTACAGAATAACTTTGGGTGACTGTCTAGGCAGCCAGATGTTTCTGTCATTTCTAGAGTTTTGGAAGTTGCTTACAATGCACTTCCTGTTTACTTAGGTAGTATTATAGTCTTTTGGGGTCTTTGATGGAACTGAAGACTAGATAATTATAGTTATAGCTTTCCTTAGTTATGATAAAAGATAAATTAGATATAAAATTTAGACTCACAAAGACAGGATAGATAGAATATTTCCTTTAATTTTGTCAAATACTAATTATATAACTATAGTTATTGCTTAATACCTGTTTTGTTATATGTAATTTTACTATGTTAAAGTTAGAACATTCCTTTTTAATTAGACGGAAAAGGGGAGATGATGTGGGATGCCCCTCTATAACCTGTGGAATATGTTTTATTACACTGGTTAATAAAGAAGATGATTTGGCCAATAGCTAGGCAGAAGACAGTCAGGTGGGAAATCCAAACAGAATTACAGAGAGAGGAAAGCAGAGTTAAGAAGATGCCAGCAGCTGCTAGAGAAGCAAGATGTGAGGCAATAAGCCATGGGCTTTGTAGCAATACACAGATATATATTCATGCATTGGGTCTGCTTTCTAAAGTTTTTCCTCTACCACAATGTATGGCACTTAAGAAAAACAATATTCTTATTTTCTTCCTTTTTCACTGACTCCCACTTGCCTTCCCTCCCTCCCCTAACTCTGGCATAAGATTGCCTAATTAGGACAAATTACAGCAGATAATAATTTCACTGTTTTTCTTGACTTCACATTCCACTTGAGACTACAGAGCTTTAAAGCAATTTCTCATTTAATCTTCAGAATAAGTTTAAACTTTGCCATTACTAAAATGCATAGATTTGACGATTCATTTTCTTCAAACCTTTCAAAGTTTGATCTCTTTTGAGCAGGAGATCAACACATATAAAGATAATTAAGTCCCTGTCACTGAGAAGCAGTTACAGGCAATACCCCCCCCACACCTCCTAATGTGTAAAGAAAAGTGAAAAATCACTTCTTTTTATAAGGATAACATTTTCTTTATCTAAAAGCCCTACAACTTACATTTAACCAGGCTCTCCTCTGAAAGATACAATCAACTTACAACACATATAGAAGGAAAATTTCCTAAAAAAAATATTCTGAACTGTTAACTATGTCTTTATTTCCCCCAGCTTATAGTTCCCTCTCATTTTTACCTATTAAATTATCTTTAAGAGCATACCCAAAAATAATTAACCAAGGCTGTTTAGGAAAAAAAAAAAAAACTCTGTATTTAGACAGTCAGCAAAAGGACCTGGGGTAGGACTTTTCAAGTTTTGTTAATTTTAAAGGGGATGAATTCAAAGTGCACTGAGATAAACACTTTGATCCTGTCTCCTGTGAACATAATAAAAAGTTATTATGCCTTGAATGTCCCTGTCAATACTAATATTGAAATTTAGTTGCTATCATGATTTGCTTGGTCATGATCATTTTGCTCTCATTAAAGAATCAGTGCTGTCACTGTGAGATACTGTGGGTTAGTAATCAAGAGAGAGGTTTTGCTATGTGAAGCCGGCTTTTGTCCCATCTCCTCTCCCAGATGGGTATTATTGCCCTCCTACCATGTTTTAGTGTAGTGCAAAAGATCTCAACAGGTTCCAGCATCATGGTGTGGACTCAGCCTCAATAAGCATGAATCAAATAAACTTCTATTGTTTATACTTTATTTACATATCAGCAGAAGACAATAGATTTAAGTATGGCCAGGGAATCTGTATTTTCCATAAGCTTGCAAGGGTACCCTTGGTTCTCAGATCACATTTGTTACTGAAAGACAAGAAAACAAACTGCAACAAGTGCTTGCATGCTAGGTATAGTTTGTCTGTAAGAGTTTTACAGTTGACACTTTTGTCCAAGTGGCCCATCTTGTAAATATTGATTTGATTCAAAAACATGTCTCAGACATAATGTTAAATTATAAAGCCACTTTACATGCACATGCTCATTATGTCCTCTGGTTCTTTTAAAAAAAAGTTTTTTCTTTCCATTTCCCAGAAGAAAAACTAAAAATTTATAAAGCTTGATTGCAAACATTGACTGTGAACACTGAGTTAATGACAGAACCTGGAATGGGGGTTACATATGCTTTATTCCAAACCCATGCTTTTAATTTACATTAAAAATATAACCTATGTATGCAGGACATGGTATTCAGAGGCTTCTACTTGCCATTCTCACTACTAACTTTGTCCTTACATTTAATGGCAAAAGCAAAGTTTTAAAAGACCACTTCTAGAAGGATTCTATTTGTCCAATGTTACACAAGTCCTTTGGGAGCAACTAAAATGATAAAATGATGAGAAAAAGCATAATCAAGAATTTCTTCAGTGGAGAGTATAGCTTCTCCTTAACAAAAAAAGAAAGAAAGAAAAAAGATAGCATTCTGTCCCTGATGGGACATCAAAAGTCACTTGATTGGTATTACTCTATTCCAAGAGAGAAATACTATCAATTCAGCGATAAGTTGCCCTACCTTGGGAGATGTAAAAATACATTTGAGTTTACGTGGTACTCTTTCATGGGCCATTTCAGTCCATTCAGAAAACATATCATCACGGTAACCCAGGGAAACATCCATGGAAACTTCTGCATTTTCTCCTGAAAGAGAAAAAAGATGGACAATTTATAAATGATTATGGGAAAATACTTTGGAAACATTACAAAATTTTCACAGGCTCTTCCATGGGATTAAAAAAAAAAAAAAAAAGCAAGAGATGTTATTATGAAACCCAAACTTAGATTGAAGTCACAGTACTAAAGTCTAGTATGGATTCTGGATCTCACATAGCCACACTGTGAGTCAGGAACATCCATTTAAATTCTACCAGAGAGAAGAACTTCATCTCTCTGAGGCAGCACAGTTGCTCAGACTCTGAGTCATGATTAAAACACACTCACCCGGAACTTGCACCTGGTCTAAAATATGCAACATGAAAGCTGCTGAACCACATATTTCCACAAAAAGTGCCTTAGATTCTTGAGCATCACAGTTCTTTTGCTTTTTTTTTTTTTTTTTTTTTTCTTCCCCTCAACACTCTTCTCCACCAGTATGGACACAATTTGAGAATATCTACCAAGAGGCTTTGTCCACATATATCAGTTTAAAGGGTGGGGTTTTGTGGATTTTGATTAAATCACTGTGGTCTCCACCCTCAAGAATGAATTAATAATAGAAATGAGTCATTTCCCACCAGAACAGGTTGCAATAAAAAGAGAAGATCTGACCTCTTCTAAGTATCTTGTTTCCTGTCTCATGGTCTCCTGCTCTAATTATGATGACATTCAATATGTTAGGAGACCATTACCAGAGACTGAACAGATAGAATCACTTAACATAACTTGTCAGTTCCCTAAAGTGTATATTAACCTGTAGCAGCAACAGAAAAACAACTAAGACATTTTAATCCCTTCTGTGCTAACCATTAGATACACTGGTATCTGAAAGCACCCTTCATAAAACTGTACCCAAAAGGTTCTCACTTATAGACTATATATTTCTGAAACTAAAAATTCCTTCTTCATATGGACAAAATTAATTTTCTAAAAGCAAAGATTCATATATTTATATTGAGTATAGGTAGATATACATATACTTCCACATCAATAGAGACTCTGGTAGGGTTGATTTACTACTTCTCAATAAGCTTAGACTAATAAAATTGCATGAATCAATTTTTGAGCATTTTATACCACAGTAAGCAAGTTCACAAATGGACTTATTTTTTTGTTTTTGTTTTTTGTTGTTTTTGTTTTTTTCTTTTTGTTTTTTGTTTTTCGAGACAGGGTTTCTCTGTATTGCTTTGGAGTCTGTCCTGGAACTAGCTCTGTAGACCAGGCTGGCCTCAAACTCACAGAGATCCGCCTGACTCTCTGCCTTCCAAGTGCTGGGATTAAAAGAGTGTGTCACTAACACCCAGCTACAAATGGACAGTTTTAGTGAAATAAAAAAATAATTAATTAAGTACAATCCCACATTTCAACAATGAATTGTGAACCAGCCACCACTGGAAATTGGGATCAATTCTAGACTGACTACTAGCTGTAAATCCTCAGTTTGCTGATTTGTAAAGTAAAATATGACTAACAGAGTTCAGATTAGTGGAAGTACTACATGCTATGCAATATGTGGCACACAATCTATTTCTATTAAATTCGAATACATATAAATTACCAAATATATAGAATAACTTTTTATACTTACCAGTCTGGCCTGGCTTAAAGATACTTTATTATTACTGTCTAATATAAGTAAAGAAGGATTTCTTGATAGCTACATCTTAAACTCCTATAAAGGGAATATTCTGGAAAAGTGAATCAATTTATATGACCCAGTACCAAGTCAGTCAATTTATCAACTGCTGAGTGGGTTGAGGCACAGTACTTTCAACAGGGGAACTGGACTAAGAACTATACACAAAAGGCTTATGCTTAGTAGCACTATCTAAGGATTTCCAGATCAGTCATATTCTTGCATATAATTTTAAGCAATCCAAGAATCCTAAATTCAAAACTGGTATTATAGTTCATTATGAAAGTAAATCTGTTGTAATTAAAAAGTAGAATATATTTGGTTGAACAGATTATTGATCAAATGTATCACTGTGAAGCAGCAGGTGTGCCTTCAGGGATACTACTACTCCGGGCCCCACAAGAAAAAAAAATAGCAATAGGCATAGGTAGAGCAGACATCTCAGGCAGAGAGAAGGTCAAACAGGCTTAATCCTGGATTTGACCCCAGTTTCAACAGTTCTTCTAATCTGATGAGGATGCTCAAAGGAGAAGCAATAAAAAATTTACATACCATATTAGTATACAATTACCCTATTTTAAGTAACAATAACCTCTGAGGCTAATTTAAATTGCCCAATTCAATTTTCTATCAATACTATTCACTAGACTTTCAGGCATTAAGTAACAGCATAAAACCATAATGTTGATATTAACATGAGAAAGATAATTATCCTAGAGTCACCTTAAAAAAATTATGAGGACTGAGAGCATTGTTCTGTAGCATGTCCTAGATTCCACCCTAGAACTGCCAGAGAAATGGGAACAGGGAAAGAAGGAAAGTAGGAATGAAGGGAGGAAAAGGGAAAGAAGGAAAACTCTCCATCATATCAGGTATCCATTTCTTCTGTGGTTTTGCTGCAAGAATAATGACTAATTAATTTGCTTAACTATAAGTAATCCTTTTGCTATATGCATCTTACAACATCATGTTGTATATATTAAATGTGTCTAGACCACCACTTGATTTGTATCACCTAAAGAAGGTTGTCTAACTTGCCATAGAAAATATTGCTCAAATAAGTCAGAATACAACTTCCATGAGTCATCCCTAGCCCTGCTGTTTTTACTACTTTTGTCATATAAAAAAGAATTCGAGGAACATCAAGCATCAAAATTAATCATGATTCATGGAAGACCTACTCAACTCTGATCAAAGCTTTCTACTGTGTTCCCAGCAGGAGCAAGTCTAAAACTCATCTCTGAACCTCTCTAGCCTAAGCATAGAGTCAGAATATGGTGAACCAAAGCAATACCTCTGTGTGTGTGTGTGTGTGTGTGTGTGTGTGTGTGTGTGTGTGTGTGAAGAACTTGAGAATTGCAGTGTGAGTCAAAGAGCACCAAGTTGGAAGCCTGGGGATACCAGTACCTGTGGGTTTATCTGTCACTGTATGTATAGTAAAGACAAACTAATGTGGGTAATGTGGGTGGGGAATGAGGCTGTCTAAGGAAAAAGTACTGTGAGTTCCTCCAGTAGCCAATGTGAAGTGGTACTAATCCATTTTGCCAGAATGTCTTAGGTTTTTAACAAGAGAAAAGTCAGAAATTAAGAATATTTTTCCATGTTTTGTTTGTTTGTTTTTCTTTTTAAATAAGAGTCTAGTTGGAGTGGAACATCTTTTCCACAAAGTATACTGCCTGGGTGACTTTTGAACTGTTTTCTCACAGGTGTAGGGAGAGCAGGACTTGTAGTGATTCATATGGGAGTTAAAGATTCATCTCTTCCATTCACTATCCATGTGTTCCTGGGCAATTTATGAAACCTCGATCAAAAAACAAAAACAAATATGGAACATGGATACATGGACACATATGAACAAATGATAAGAAAGCTACTGTTCTTATGGAAAAATGAGAGAAACAATTCTCAATTTTTTAAAAAATTCACTAATGTGGTTATTAAAAAAATCCTTCCTCACAATCTCAGTGCAGGTCCACTAATAGAGCATCAAGAAACTCCAGACATACCACATATCTTCATGCTGACCACTACATCATCTTTTCTTCCTATTTTGCCAACAAGTCAAGTTCAAAATTCTCTAGCTGCTTACTGTTATGTCTTAATTTTACCCATTATCGACTTACTTCCTGTGTAGCTGTGACAAGGATGCTATTTTTCCTGTGTATGAAGAACTCAGAAAGACAAAGTTCCCAAATTATCCTAGTGGCTAATGTGTCCTGGCTTATAACTTCAGCATTTTGCCATTTTTTATTGGTATATGTGAAGTAGGAATAAAGGATCAGAGACTGTTCTAAAAACCCTTTGGCTCCCCCACTGATCTCAATGCCATTGTTCCCAGGATAGATTCTTGGGGTTCTTCTCCTGTTATAATAGAACTCATCCCTTAGGATTTTATGACTACTAAATTAGTCACCATGAAAATTGCTTAGAACAGTGCATAAAGCATCAAGAATAGCAATTTCTGTCATCATTACATTGATAAACGTGAAATCCTCATATCTAACTTTCATTCAATATAATAGCAGGTGAGAAAACCATGATGCTTCTCTCTAAATCCATTCCAAACATGAAACACAAAACTATGAAACAGGAGAGTGCTGGGCAGAAAGAAGTCAGTAAGACTGTGCTGCTTGCTGATGAACTATTTTCTGCCTTTCAGTGGAGTAGGAAATCTTTTCAGCTTTAACCACTACATTGCATATAATAAAACACTGTTCTCATGGCTCCTGGGATGCTGCTTGGGCAATACTACCTGACACCTTGTAGAGACAATTAAAACTGCATATGCTATTTGAACCCCCTGGGAGATAGGCAAAATGGACAAGGTTACATATGACATTGGGAAAAGCTACCTATTAAAATAAAGACTCTGGTTATAGCAGCTCCATAGAATAAGGGCAAAAAGTATTATCACAGAGTATGTTTAGCTATGAAAGTCATGGTTCTCTCTCTCTCTGTGTCTTTTTTTGTATTTAAAATGGAAACCTTTATTGATAGTTTAGGATTACAACAGAGATTTCCACAAAAACAAACAAGATAAGTTCAAGATAGTGGTATAGCACAAGGGGCGCCTTTTCGTTAAGAAGTATTAACAGGTTAAATACTTATTATAAAACACTAAATAGCTCAGGCTAGATTGTTCTTGTAGACTAAAAAGTGAATAAAAATAATTATAGTTGAATGTGGCATGCTTGCCTGTAATCCTAACATTCATCAGGCTGAGGCAGGAGGATCAAATACTTGGTCCATATAATGAGACTCCAACAGTCACCAAGTTTAAAAAAAAAGATAACCCAAAATTGAACAATTGAGTAAAGAGCCCACTTTTTCTCCCATTAAGCCTATTATA